TGTTGTTGTTGTTGTTGTTGTTGTTGTAATAGTCTGACATAGCCCTTTTAATGGCCTTACCTCTGTCACTTGGCAACGCTCTGCTAAGAAATGCGCTGTTGTATTCTGCTCCGATATGATTGCTCACGTAACAAGTGTAAAGTCCAAAATCTTCTTCTGTCACATTACTAATTTTCAACTCGGATCCATAACTTTCAGGTCCCTGCTGGATAGCGCTGTAATACTTTAGATCTATCAGCTGAAATGGTCCATCTTCCAAGTTATCCCCCACGTTTGACACAAATGTGATAGACTTGTCCCATTTCAGCCATCTAAAATCTGGAAGTGTCCCACTTACAACCACAAGGCATTTCATTGTTACACTTTCTCCAGCCTGTGCACTTTTGTTCCTTGGAAAATCTTTCCGCAAAATGGGTCTTGTTCGTGGTTTAGCTGTTAGAAAGATGACGAGAGTTAGCCCTATGCGGCCTAAATGAAATGATTCCAAAAAAAATAAGAAAACTAGATCAAGATTGGACCATCCTCTTATCACTGTCTCATGTACTCACCCAGAACCCTGACCGTGTATGTATGATTTATACTGCCATATGGATTCGACACTATACAAGTGTATTCCCCAGCGTCTCCAGGTCTTAGGTCTTTTAGTTTCAAGTACCAAATTGAAGTGTTCAGGTATGGGTCCCATCTTCTCCTTCTTAAAATCTTCCCGTCTTTAAGCCAGGTGTAATTAAGAGGTGCTGCTCCCATTGCCTTACACTTTAACTTCACTGAGTGACTTGCTGGCCATGCTTTGAAAGCTCTTTTTAAGGTATCTGGGTCAGAAAAGGTGGGTGGATCTCCTATTCGGGAAGGAATTTTTATAGTAACTTGAAAGGTCAGTAAATCAGAGTATCTAATCTAAATTATCAATTGCAAAAATGCACTCTATTTGAGTATCAACATATTTAGTACTAAAGTACTAATTGTGGACACTGTTGTTACGTCTCCTACTGAAGACGGGACCGCCATTTCAGATCACGTGCTCATCCGAGCCGCGCGAAACGTCTTACGGGGCAAGGGAAGCCGGTACCTTCAGTTATTTTGAGATTCTGAGTATTGGTCCGGCCACGGGAATTGAACACGCAACCTCCCGCTCTGCTGTCAACCGCTCTACCGACTGAGCTAATCCTGCTGCGGTTATTATTATATGGGGTTGGGTTGTATTTAGTAACTGGCCTCCTTCGCTTTTCAGCAGCACAAAACGATCGACTCTTTTTTCTTCTGGAGTTTGTTCAACTTGTTATGATCATCACAAGTTATTAAAAGGAACTCCATACCAATGAAAAAAAAAAGGATCGGATCGCAGAATCAAGGATGTTCAACTTGTAAGATACCCTGCAAGAGAGCCTCTCTTTTACTTTCTCAATTTTGGCGTATTCAAGAAAGACCCTGCATGAAATTGAATAAGATCTTTGTTGAAAATGTGCTACTTGTTGCTGGAATACTCCAACCCAGGTCTAACAGCTATGCAGTTGGATACTCACACGTTTGGAAAACAAAGTTTCATGAGAGAAAACAAGGTTGCGTACAGTACAAATCGGCGAGTAATTTATATATTAAGGTATAAGCTGAATACCATTCAATACTCATGGCTATTAAACTATGCTTTAGAAAAAATAATAATAATAATAATAAGAAGAAGAAGAACCTATTTAAGAACAGCCTAAATTTGTGCAAATTACCATTTAAATTTATGTAAGAATTTGTTTAGGCTAACTTGAGAAAATGCCGTTTCTTACTCGCGGATTTTCACTGTAGTCAAGAAGTTGGGGTTTTGGCGACGCAGTTGTCCCTTTCGTAAACGGTTGCTGCTATAATGATTTTTAAGACACTTAAAAAAATTTTTAACCTGTTATTGAGAGTGTTTCTATTAAAAAGAAAGAAGATCGCACCGCAGGGTCGATCTCGTACCTTTCGTATCCTTACCTCTCTCCTTAGTCTCCCTTGGAGCCGGTTTTCGTGTCGTCACGCGAGGAGCGTTGCGTGACGACATTAAAAACGGCTGCGAGGGAGATTACCCTCTCTCTTACTACTACACTACCACACCGACCGGCCAAAATTCCGGAAAACGGAAAATTTTAGTTCGTAAACTAATAGACCGTTTTCTTAACTGATACATCATTAACAGGTGATCCATCAATTTTCCTAACTATTAACGTAAATCCAGCTTAGGCTTCGAGGTCGTTCTTTCTAGGACTATTCAAAAACGTATTATTTGCCTTATATATTGTAACTTAACCCAGGGAATATTATAAAACTATCCCCCGAAGGGAATTAAGATGAATAGTGGTGGGTGGATATATACCGAGGCGCCAACCGTCGACGTATATATCTAGCGCTGTTCACTGACCCTGAGGGGGATAGTTGTTTTAGTATTTACCAGATCAGTTGAAACTGAAAAAAAGGAACTTTTTGTAAATTAAAAACGGCACTTAGTAGGAACTTTGTTTACAATTTACAAACATTTCAGGGATTTGTCAAGTGCCGCATAGCAGAGCTCTCCACGCGCGCGAGCGGAGCCCCATAGTAGATAAGAAAATTTGGTAAACCATCTATCCGAGAAAAGCATCCACCCTTAAAAGTCATATGGATCTCCCCAGTTAACTGATTTGTGGACTGAGAAAACAAGTTTATTGTTTGATTTAAATTATACATTTATTAACTGTATCTACACTTTTAGCCCTGGCTAAATCTATATATTACGATTTTGTTGCAAATTTAGCATGAAAATAATTTTCTACCTACCAGTGAACACCGACAAGCCAAAGTCTGTCGCTTTCTTTGCATTTGTTTCTACGACTGCTTCATTTATCGCACAAACTTCGTCTTCCGAAATGTCTCGAAACTAGACGCCATCTTGGCTCCGGTCGCAAAACAGTGAATAGCCAAGGATATTACGAGTTACGGGAGCCAATGAAAACGTGCGAAAATTGCTATTCACTGATTCGGTAAATACTAAATTACATCTATCATGACTAAAGGCTTGGTTACCATTGGTGGCATGGCAAAGACCGTGTGCGAAAGGGAAAGAGGCTTCGGGGCGGCGACCACACAAAAAACGTCCTTTTCTCCTCCTCACTCAACAAGACAAAGGCAGGCACTGCCCACAGGCTGCTTGCTATAAATATATTTATAGAAAATGTCAATACAACCATAAAGCTGAAAATTTAATACCTGTATCGCAGCGATCTCCTCTCCAACCAGATAAGCATACTTTATTTCCATTCTTATCGCATGTGTAATGCCCAGAGTTGTCGTTTCGGGCCCGACAGAATTTTTTACAACGATTTCCATAATAGTCAGCATCACAGATCACTCTGATCTTGTAGCTGATGGTGACAACAGAACTATTGTATGCGTGCAATTCCCATTCGTTGTTTGAAAGTAATGTCCCTCTCTGTACAACTCTGTCGATTAATTCACTGTTACCTAATATGTGAATAATAAATAAAAATAATGATTAAATAACAAAATAAATAGATTGTTTGAAAGGTTGTTAAAGTGCTGTGAGGCGGAAAGGACTGTTTTGCCTAACAAAACTGCATAAGGTGGATACCGTATTTCAGTATGTCAATAATGTTCATAACTTACTATGTTCATAACTTCTTAATATTCAATAAATGTTGATTGCCTTTGCACTAAATATTATTGAAAAAGTTATTGAAGATATAATGTTCGATCAATTAATATTCCTTTCCTTGTTTCCAAGAAATTTACATTGAACGTAGACAAAATTAAGTTATTCTGCATAGAAAACAATAGTTAGTTCTTTCATAAACGTTAACATTCAGACGGCCTGTGAATGCAAGCTAGGCGCCAAACGAGCCAGAATCCTTTGAGCAAAAACTTACTCGAATTGTCTGCGTCCCTTGCCTCCAAAACTAAGGAGTACGCAACCTGCAATAAACAATTTTAATAGCGTTCGTTAACTTATCTCGTGGGGGAAAGGCGGGGGGGCACTCACGAAACTTTCGGGTAGAGGTGTGCCATCGAGGCCTTCACTGAAACCCTGACCACGTTTAAAACAAATCGTTCATAGGACTCAATTGGGTAATTAAGTTATAAACGGGAAGGCAAAGTGCCAGATTATTCTAATAACCAAAGAAAAGGAGCCATCCCCCAAAACTGAGCTGCGTACCACCGGCTGAACGGTTCAAAAATTAATTCTAAGAACAGACTGCATAGACTTACCCTCCACAAGCTTGAGAGGTGAATAGAAATCGGATTGCGAAATCCATTATTCGACGATGAAGTGTTCGTGAAAGAGATCGAACTTCTTCTTAGAACAACGGTTGTAACCTCGCCGTACATACAAGGACCAGTCGACAAATCGTGTTGCGTGTTCCGCTTGTTTAGACAAACTCTGAAGAATGTGTCGCATTCGTCACGGCACACGCTTTGTCCATGATGTATTGTGCGACTCCCATCACAGCATTCACCGTTGGATTTCTCATGTTTGATGTTTCTCAGCGAATTTAAGTAGATTTGAAAAGATCCCGATCCACTTACAGTCTGCAAAAGAGAAAGAGGGTCAGACTCACTGAATCTTTCCCGAAAGCCTAAAATTCAAAGTACAGGAAAAGGTTTTACACATTGCATGGTTTTTCCGTACCTGCTTATGAATGAAGAGGAGTACTGCAACAAAACAAATTAAACTTTTCGCGAGATGGACCGAAGCCATCGCTAAAATGTGAATGTTGCTGGCAGAGGTCAAGGAATTAAAGCTATTAAATATACTGACGCACTTCCTCTTCCTGATTGACGTGCCCTTTTCTTCTGAGTTTATTCTAACCTGCGATCAGGCGTTCTTTTCTCGGGGATAGGGCAAAATTCGTCTAGCAAAGAAGCAGGGAAGATGGACACCTGATCACCTTATCGTAGGCGGGTTAATTTTATTCCTATGTGTGGTACATTAAAAAGTTGGACCCGGGATTTGCATTTGCTTATCAAACCAGTTTCACTAAAGGGAAAATCCCAGGAAAATAACAGGAGTTCTTGTCGGAAATTGCCAGAAAATTGCTCAAAATCAGCAAACACATTCATTCGCTGCAAGGGCAAGACAGTATAAAAAATTTCATGTCTTTTTCAAGACGAACAGATGCTCTCCAAGTTAGGGGAAAAAACCTGCTTCGATTTTTCCACCGCGGTAGATAAAAAAAGAGTCAGTGTTTATATTCATTTGTTCAGAATCATTTTCAACCCTAAATTAACTGGCACTGACAACTTTTAACAACGATTCAAGGGCTAGTCAGACTATTAGGACTGTTCATTTGCGTATCAAACTGTTCCCTTTATTTTTGTGGCTCAATACTGTAAAATGCCGCTAAAAGGGGCCGCGACAAATCTAATAGCATTTATTTTACATTTTATAGATTAGTGCGCTGGTAATAATTTTACCCCTGGAAGGTACGACAAACACCCCGTCATTTATTAAAGGGACTATCTCTTGGACAGAGCGAACATGACTTTCTAGAAATAAGTTTTAGCATTACTGAATCGCGGAGCTGGTATTCATACTGATAAAGAGAGCATGGCAGCATTGGGCTAAGCATTCATTGTCTCTAAATTGACGATTCGCGTTTAACTGCAAATGTAAAACGGAAGAAAAGCAGAAAATTGGACCATCGATTAAACCCGAAACACGGAACATGAAAAATTATAATAATTTTTAAACAGTTAAAAGAAATAAACAAATAGAAAACAAAAATAGCCGAAAAAAAATAAGTATAAATAAATAAATGAACATAAATAAACTGACATGAAATATATACATATTGTTGGAGGTAAATACAATTGGCTGGTCGAGGGAGGGGCTGTCGGACAACCTCGTCCCCAGGGCTTCTCCCTGGCCCCTCCGATTTTCTTAGGGTGAAACCCTGTGAACGAGGTTGGTTGTGGGATACATTTCCGTGCAAATGACAGTAATGAGTGAAATCTCCCTTTTCCAAAATTTTTAAGAGCTTAGAAACTTCTGGCTTTGAATTTTGGTGGACAGTTCGCACTGGATACTTATTACCCTTTCCCGGGGGACTAAGTTATGGAACTGCCGTACTGTGACTGCTTGGGCATCACATGGGTTACTCCCCAAACCGCCCCAAGGGGAGGTGGGAGGGCTGAGACCTTAAAGTCACTTCAACTGAACTCCGCTGAACTGAGGAGGCGCTAAAACGATGCAATTCTAAGCGAGGGTCCGATGCATCATGCCATTAGTGCGCAGGCTCGAGCGACCAACCTCGTCCCCAGGGCTTTTCCCTTAAAAAATGGGTGGGGCGGGAAAAGGCCCTGGCATCTTTTCCCGCCCCACCCATTTTTTAAGGGAAAAGCCCTGGGGACGAGGTTGTCGAGCGACGGAATTTTAAGGAGTTTCTTATTTCCCGCGTTACCGGCTAATAGATAAACAGTGAAAATAATGGTGGTTTCTAAAATGTTAACAGTCGCCTGTTTTTCCGCCTGGTGGAAGATGTCGAGCGCTGATCTACCGAAGTTTCTCAGGGAGATCGAAATCTGGGGATAGTAATACCCCTAGAGACAAGTACTCTCTGTCTATTTCGCTAGCTAAAAAATAACCACAATAGCGGTGATTGGCTTCTACCACGAATGTGAATGTTGTGCACCAACAACCAAAGCCAGGTATCCCTAGGGTCTTCAAACGATCACAGAGGAGATAGGTAACCTTCACACAATTGCAAAACTTCATGATTAACTGCGGAAGCTGGGGATGGGTGACGAAAGCTAGAACATCTTGCCAACTTTGGCGCAGAGCGCCTTTATTTACCATGCTAGAGGGACCTTGACCTTTTCTCTAATCTGCTAATCAAACCGGCGGTCGCGAGACTGTTTAATAAGTTAATTCAAAAGTAATTATCAAGGGAGGAACGACGCGCTCTAGCCCAAAGAGTCCCACTATCTTTAGAAAAACAAGGTGGAATTTAAAAATCGTAGCTTTAGTTTAAGCTGCAATCCATTCTTCGAAATTTGGATCTGAAAATCACTAAGGAGAATTTAACATCCTGCAAAAACTACCTAACTACCTGGGCCCAGCCTAACAGAACATTGCAGGAAACCTTCACATTCACGGACAAAAGTAGACCGCTTTAAGTTATTCAGATCTAGGAGGCACTTTAGAGAAATTTAAACAACCTAAAAGTTTACTTAGCCGCAAGGAAGAAGTTTACGTTTTAAAAGAGGACAAAGAAAAGGTTCTCGACTCGCATCAAAGGGTGAATCATGCCGACCAGAAATAAACGCAGGAAAATCAATGCTGTCACGACTTCTCAGTATGAAACAAGCGGCAAAAATAATGCAGATTTGCTCAGTCATAATCTACCCGGTGGAAAAATGTCGTGTGAATGTCGTGTGTTGCCTACCGACCCCATATGCCAGGTAGTAACTAGAATAGCAGTGATTTTCCATCCAGCCAGTCGGCAAGACCGCCAGTATGTCTCTCTTTTGATTATAATTTACAATGCCCTCTCTTGGTTCCGCACTTATTTCCTCCACACCATCGACTGTTCCACTGACTTCGGGTGTTGCCTTATCTAAATCTTCCGTACATACAGGCATCTGATATAGACCTTTTTACCGATACGGCGGCCATATTGGATTACTTAGATTTAAGGAGTATTATGGGATGGCCAGGGTGGATGAGCACGATTCCATTTACTCGCCCAGTATTTATGAGCGCTTTCGGGCTTATACTACTGAGAAATTTCTGCAATTTGATAGGCCTAGAGCAGTGGTATTTCAGCTTAATTTGAAATACCTACATGTGAAAATTACAAAACTATTGCCGGTAGTAGCATAAACAAATAATAGCATGACTTGTACATGATATTTGGCATAAATACCACTTGAGATATTTCAAAATTGTCTCAAATTTCAATTTTGTAAAACAATTTCGAAACATCACTCGTGGTATTTGTGCCAAATATCACTACAAATCATGCTATTACCTATACTAATTTTTCCTAGAAAAAGATTGTAATGGGGAAAAACGATCGTTAATTGTGCCGTGTTTGCATGTAACAGTGATCGCCTTTTACCCGAAAAATATATAGTGAAGTTCACTTTTTGCCCGAAAAGCTCGCGTAAATGCTGAGCGATCGCGAGTGCCCCCTGGGCATCCCATAATTCTCTAATAAATTCAATATGGCCGCCGTATCGGTAAAAATGGTAAGGTAAACGTACCTGATGTGTGTTTGGATTGTTTGGGTCTGATCTTTGTCACCTTCAAACCACCTGCGTACCGATCACGCGCCTATTGTGACTGTAATCCAATCAGAGCATTTGAAACATTCGACATCTCCAAGGAACCGATCAGCAAAACATCCAGCTTCTGGATGTTTTGGTATAGGCGAGCTTGTAATTGGCTCGGCGCTTTCAAAGGGATGGCGCTCTGGTCCAGAGGCTTTTCGCGCGGGCCACTTTTTTTCGCGCAGGTCACTTTTTTTGTAAAGTGACCCGTGCTAAAAGCCTTTAGACCAGAGACTTGACCGAAACCAGAAACTGCGCATGAAAAACCTCTGGCACCCAGGGTAAGTGAAGCCTGGGATGCCTTCCGTTATACCGGACCGACCAGTCAGAGACCACTCGAACTGGAACGCGTCCGAACCAAAAGTTCGATCGAATTGATTGTTGGATAATGTGTAACTTCTCAAATTCGTCTTTGAACTTCATGTAGCTTGCAATAAGTAGACGGGCGTGTTTGTCCTCCCATCTTTCCAGGGCTTTGGTCGAACTAGTGGAGGTTGTTGGAATGGGCTGTGAATATTTTTCACACTGACTGTTAAAGCCGTAAGGGCTAGGGTCACAAACTGCTAAGAGAAAAACGCGGGAAAACATCTTCAACATTCGATCGGGGGAGAAGCCAGAAATATATTTCTTTAAAAACTGACCGAAAACCAGAATAAAAAACAAATTAAGATGCACTGCTGTACCTGAGCCTTGTGTGCAACTGTGCATAAGGAGAAAGTTTACGTCTTGCGTCTGAAGCTTACACACACTGCACTCGTATTAAAAAATGCTTACATCTGAACCATCCGCCATTTTTACCGCGGTGACGAGCTCGAGCCGGACTGGAAACGAAAATGTTTGAAAATGAAACGGCAAATTTTCGGTCGGACCGGACCGACTGCTCAAAGAGGACCACCCCTGAAGGTGGACCACTTTGACCGTTTTCGCCTGGGCCGAACCGTTCCATTTACGTTTGGACCGAAATTTTGACATAATGGAAAGCACCCCTAGTTAAAAAGCCAAGGAAGAGAAAAAAACGGGGTAAGAAAAGCGAAATAGGAGGGGAGAAGAGTAGTGGAGACCGCTGTTTGACTTCATAAAAACTTTGTGCTCATTCCCGAACTTCGTAAAGTTTAAATTTTATTTTTATTAAAAGTTCTAAAAACCTCAGCGAGATACCCGCTTAATCTGGCTGTGTCAGCTTGAAACGATCACGTTTCCGTGATTAACAGTAACGCTACGTAGGTCTTCAGTTTCCTCGTTCCCAGGGTCTAATATAAATTTTCTGTAATAGCGCAAGACGCCATTTTGAAACGTACTCCGAAAGTCGGTCAAAAAAGCAAGACTCCTAGATCGTCGCTGATTCAGTTTCGCCCGTCAAGAACGCAAAGATGGCCGCTGCAAACGTTAATCCAAATGATTTCTCAGCCCCTTGGAAGTTTAGCGATGTTGTCCTCGTTGTTGAAGATCAAAAGTTTCACGTTCATCGAAGCACCTTGGCATACTGGTCCCCTGTGTTTGAGAAAATGTTCTTATCGGATTTCAAGGAGAAGAGTAACGATGAAATCCCTCTTCCAGGGAAGAAGGCAAGCGAAATCAAACACTTGCTTCATATGATGTATCCTTCCTTGGAGGTGAAACCATTCACAAAGAGTAACTGTTACTTTCTGTTTGAACTTGCTCATGAATATCAAATAGAGTCCATTGCTCAAAAGTGCGAAGCGTTAATGGTGTCTATGGTTAAACAAAGAACAGAGGATGACGTTCTAGCAATGTTAATTTATGGGCAGAAGTACCAGCTAAAATCACTGATATCGACCTGTATCTCTGAGGCTCGGCGATTAACATTGAAGGAACTAAAGCAGCACAAACGGCGTGAAGAGGTTGAGCCAGACAACTATCTACAGATTGCTGAGGGAATTATTCAGCGACTCGAGAGGCAGTGTGAGGAAACAAAAAGGGAGAGTCTGAAACATCTGAAAAACGTTAGCCAAAATCTGTATACCCATGCTAGAAATAAAGGCACAGTAAGTTATCTTTATAATAGTAGCCAAGAGACGACTGATAATTGGTTGTATCGTTTAAAATCCGACACTAGTGTGTCAAACACTAATTGCGCACCCCTAAATTACATAGCTTCAGAATTAATTGCTCTTAAGGGCAGAATAGATACCCTTCCTAACATTGCTTTTTAGTTTAAGAATAACCTTGTTACTTGACAACCGATCTAATTAATTGCTTTGTTATCCATGTTCGTCGGTTGTTCAGTCATGGTATCTATTAGCAGATACCGCTTTGTTATAGGGTGTATCTTGACATGTTTGAGCTGACATAATGTTGATCAACACTAGGTTTGAAAACTAAATAACCCGGGTAGAGCAGACTCATTATGTGTTACAATGACTGAATTCCATTTATTTTAAAAACTAAAGGACAGTTCGCTGTATCGCTATACTTAAAAGATAAAGAAGAAATATCGTTAACCAGATCCGTGGCTATTTTTTTTTATCACTACTTGTAGATGTGACTTTAAATGTGAGCAGTTATTGCATATGATAATTCCGCGTTTCTCGTTAGAGGTTTGTTTGAAAAACTATCTCGAGGTATTTAAGAGCACATGTGCATGTCGTTTTCTTCAACCAGACACTGCGAGTTTTATTTCCTTTACGTTGTGTCAGTAGTAGCAGTTGCCCGGTTCGCCGTCAGGGGAAAGCAAACTAATGGGCACGAACATTTAGCAGAAAGAAACTCGATTTTTGGTTTGGGTAAGTTACCGGGAACGAAAATACGTCATAGAATTTAGACTTCTTGTTCCTAGAGACTGTTAGCCTGCGAATAAGCGCCCGGGAGAGCTTGCTCGCAGGCTAAGAGACCGTCGTTTCCTTAGATCACGAGCTCTTCGGAGAAAAAACATGACTTGTTTAGAAATGTCACAGGGGATATTGAGTATCGTTAATGAATGCATGTTCTGGTAGAAGAGAAATTTCATTACCCAGAGTAATAGGCTCGATTACAAGAAGCCGTTCTGTGCGCCCGCAAGAGCTCTTTTTAACTTTCAAAAATATTGTTTTGTGTTCAACAAAACTAGCGTAGACGTACTAAAAGATTATATCAATTTCTTTTTAGAGTGTGTCAGATCACGTATATTCGAATATATGGAAATGCAATTCATTTCTAATTTTTATACATGATGTAGGGAGAGGGAGAGGCACGTCCGTGTACCGCCAGAGCTAGTGAAACCCCATATCATTCGTCTCAGAGTTCGCTTAGCTATAGCGTTGAAAGGGGAAGCTAAATGACATGTATTTGTGAGAGACTGTGAGCATTGAATCTTGTTGCTTTACGGCATTTTAATACTGTATTGGGCATACACCTGTAATTCTGTAATTAAATCCCGAAAACGAATAAAAAGTTTCCTTTAGTTATATTTTGGGAGCAAACCCAGTGGAGATTTTAGGGTAATAATATTGATGATTAAGACGATGTACAAAAGGCAAGTTTAACTTTCGCCAGTGGGTCACTGGCCAGGTGTTAGGGGTAAATTAATACAGTTTGTGGTGTACTCTGTGTGTTTGTAACGATGTCAACTAACATTTAAAAAAAGTCAGCTGTTTCAGCGGAGGGACATGTCTTGACAGCTTATGATTTTTATCTGGTAGTTAAAGCTTGGCCAGTATGCAGATCAAGAGCTTTTGAAATCCCTTTTCCAAAATAAAACTCCGGACTTAAGCTTAAAATAAATATTGATCCAAGTACATGACCAGCAGGGTCTGCAGTAAGAATAAAGGTCAGTACACACTAGGCGACAAGTTGCTGCAACACGTCGCGGCGACAGATCACTCCGTTTGCACAGGTCGGGCGACTAGTTGCAGCAACAAGGTGAGGCGACACGTCGCAGCGCCAAATCGCTTCGTGTGTACTGGAGAATTTTTGTGAAAATCTTTGTCTCCGCAACAGAATTTTGGCGCTGCAACAAGTCGCAAAAAATCAAATCAGACTGAATCTGTGCGACTTGTTGCGGCGACAAAGATTTCCACAAAAATTCTCCTGTACACACGAAGCGATTTGTCGCTGCAACGTGTCGCCGCGACATGTTGTTGCAACTTGTCGCCTAGTGTGTACCGACCTTAAAGAAAAAAAGGCCAAAAAGAAAAGCAGTGTTAAAAAAAAAAAGACCAAACAGGAAAAAAAAAACAGTACTTAGAAACAGAAAGCAGCGTCGCCGGGAGTCGAACCCGGTTTATCTGCACGTGCAAGAAACTCCTTGTCCACTGCACCACAGTGACACATGATTTGAAAAGTTAATTTTGTCATATCAAAACAATTTTTCTCTGCCATAGACGCTGTTTGAAGCTAGTAGATCTGTATTTATCATGAATTTAAATATGCATTTGAGGAAAACTAGCTTAAGCGCGTATTTCAAAGCTATTTCGCATTATTTCCGGTTCAACGCGGGCCGACTCGATGTAGATAATCGATCGAACTAGCTTTACTGCATTTGGTGGAGAATTAGGAGATCAACAGAGGCCCGCACTCGAAAGGAATGATATGAAGTTAGGCCCATTTAATTAGCAAAAAAATAGATGAAATAAAAACATGCATGATCTGTGAATGGAACCTCCTATTCTGGAGACTAGACCTTGCCTATTTTAGAGAAAAAAAAGATTTAAGTTTTGATGACCTTGCCGGGTCCGTGAAATAGATGGCGATCCCGCAACACGGCTCGCAAAACAAATTAACAAAATTTTACAATCACGGACACAAAATATCAAAACGGTTTACACAAGCAGATTATAGCGACACCAAAGCTCACCCACATTCGATCAAATAAGCCATATATAACAATTATTCACCGCAGTGGAGGTGGCTACTCGTGCATATTTACCGAACTGCGAAGCAGTGAGGTAAATAATCCACGACTAGCCACCGACACTGAGGTGAATAATTGCTTTAGTATATACTAAAACAGTGAGATAATTGAGCACAAAAATGATGATTTTTAACTCAATACTGTTGCCAACGATTACAATTTTGGCGCGTAATGACCGGGCGGGCGCGGCCGTCGCTTTTTCTTGCAGACAATTAAAACTTTTGAAGGCATTTGTTTAGCTCTTGCGGGGAAATTTCTTCAAAAGGAGTTGTGAATTCTTTTTTTATTTAAAATCATTCTATAAAAAAAGATTATTAAATTTAGTTTGAAGCTTATTTATGAACAACTCAACTAAATAAAGTAACGCAAGACTTAAACTGAATTTGCATTTGTAAACAAACAACTTTTTCACCGGTTTTATCGATAAATTCGTGTCAAAAAGACAAAGCTTTACCTGTTAAAACTTCCAATCCGAACTTCGTCACCTTCTTCGTGTATTTCGGAAACAGCTTGCTTGATTAGTTGTGAAATTCCTTTGTTTGTTTACGGCAGCAAACCGGGAAGACATTTTGCTCGCAACTTACGCGAGTTTGGCGTCGCTCGCTCGGAGGAACTGGAGGTGAATCAGTGNCCCCCCCCCCCCCCCCCCCTCACCTGATGAAAATATAAACCAGGTTGAATCTCCATTCAAGGGATTCCTTAGCACTCAAAACTTGACTGACCACTGAGATACAACAACAACAACAACAACAACAACAACAAATTTATTTAACAAAGGTAGGCACACAACAAAACCTGTTTTCCATGTGGAATTCAGAGATGGTTGATAAATTTAAGTGTGCGCTAATCACAAGGATGACAGTTTTCACAAATCTCACTAAAGCTGCACCTGTAGGAATTCAACACGCAGTATAGCAGAGAAATGTTAAACAGGATTGTTCACAACAATACCGAGACAATGCAAAATATAAATAAAAATCTATTCTTGGCTGGTTAATTATTAACAAATCCCACCCCAACTTCTATTCAGGAGACACTTTCCTCGATCTCTTATTTGTCTAGTTTATCAACCCAATATTCATTAGAAAGCTTATGTCTAAACCATTACTGATCAATGCATTTCAAAGTATCTGAACCCAAATAATAAAGTGGCCTCTCTCGTTTGAAAAAATAGGCTGCCTTCTTTTACCACATATATTTTAAGGAGTAACAATCAAAATCTAAAAGTTGCCTGGACAATAACAAGTCTATGTATGTACTCGTGCTGTATTAACTCTCTTGAAAACCACCCTTAAATTGATTTACAGCGTCTTTCAGTTGCATCAAACAGACGACGACCGTCATGTCCTCACGCATTAAAAATTTTCTTCACTGCATAGCCCTGAAACGAATAAAACAAGATTTATTAACACTCATGAAAGATATTAACTCGGAAACAACGGTTTCATCAGTTAGTTGTAATCATCAGTTAGTGAAAAAATTAAAATGTGAAGTGAATAATTAATAGACAAAGATAAGACAGTCCGCCACCACGACAAGCTGGCCCTAAGCCAGTTAGCGGACTAACTAGTTTACGTGTATACTCTCTTCTATCTTTCTTTCTTTCATTCTCAATTCAACCCCAAATCCCCCAAAATTCAACTGTAATCCCTCCTTAAGATATGTGTATAACCACGTTTTGTGAGAGAAAACTTTACGACTTTATCAAATTCGTTGTTTAACTCCTCTAAATTTGAGGATTTATCTCGAGCATGCGCTCTTTCATCGCCTGTCACATTCCTGACAGGCAATCACGTGTACAAATTGGATTTGACCAGATCTCGCTTCCGGATTCGTCAACAAGAGATCAGGGTACAAGATTAGCTAGTTGCAATTGTTCAAGGTAATCTCAAGTTCAAATCCTCGACCACACTAGTAAATAACTAAAGGTTTGGCTCCGGCCAGTTTTTTTTTAATTATTTATTTCACAGCTTGCTCCAGTCCTCCAGACTCTGCGACTGACGAGGGTAAAAAAAGGATTTATTTATTTATTTCAGATCTATTTATTTTATTTTATTTATTTACCGGCATCGAATAGAAAAAGAGGACCACCAAGGCGATTAATAATACGAGTATCAATAACTTTATTATCAACCACTTGTAACGTCGCCACAGTATGTATCTCAGGCTTTTAAACGGGGAAGAAAACCACGCGAAAGAGGTAGCTGGTCGGCTAAAAGAGAAAGAAAACATGATTTATAAGAAGATTAATAATTACTTAAGGATAAAGTCAGTAGGGTGCTGGTTTGGCTCAATTCTGGTGGAAGGACAAGATGAAAGATTTAT